TGGCCGCTGCCGCCGCCCGCCGCCTGACGCCGCCGTCAGCCGTCCACCGCCACACTCTGACCACCGTTTGACGCCGCTTTTTCCTAGGATGGTCGTCTGCTCACGGTGAATACAGATCTGGACTTGCATTTGCGAAAAACGCTGTCTTTAGTCGCAGATCTACACTCGCCCTCTGCAGATTTTCGAAGCCTCCCGTCCGAGTTCGCCTCCGCCACTCAACCCAGCGCAGTGCCTAAACGTGACCTAATCCCGTCTTCTCTTGTGTCGAGCAGTGGTGTACAGCTGAGTATTCACCATGGAACCCCAACCCAGTCTCAACCCAGCCAACTTCGAGGGTTTGACTCAGCTGGTGCGGTGGCTGCTTCCTCCGAGGCCTCCTATTGTTCCTCCTTCTTCGTCTAGGAGTTCTCATCTCCCGCTTGAACCAGGCTGCCGTGTTGCAGCTGGTGATTTCCCCTGGAGTCTGCCAAGGAATTAGAAGCGAAAGTGAAGGCTCTTAAAGCATTAGTGGCAGAGTTGAATAAGCGGGTTAATGATTTAAAATGAAGGAAAATGCAGTTCCACGAGGCAGTCTTCTCAAGAAATCTGGATCCGCTGGTGCTGCCTCTTCATCTTACTCCGGTAAGGACAATCGTAAAATTGAGAATGAAAAAGGAGAGGACAAGGTTACGGAAACCGCAAAGAAGAGTTTTTTACCAGACGCTTGTTGGCCGGATTGAGACAGTTTGGTAACTTCTCTATTCCACCGAATGCTGCTAAGAACGATGTTTTGGCAGCCTTGGCACGTGAGGCGGGTTGGATAGTTGAGTCCGACGGCACCACTTACAGACACTCTCCTTCAACCCAAAATCAACAAATTTCGGGATCAGTTTCGGCGAGGTCGGGTGAAAGTCCACTATCATCCAGTCCTTTGAAGAAATGCTCACAAGAAGGGAAACATAGGAACGGAAAGCTGTCTTTTGTTCACGCAACACCAACGCTTCCTGTCGCTAATGTTGATCATGGTGGTGCCAAGGAAATATTCGAAAGGGTATTCCGATGCAAAATTTTCCGAAGTGGTGGGAAGAAGAAGAAATGGGTTTATAATCGGTCGAAAGAAGGCCAACCAGATTTTCGCAATGGGTCCAGAAAGGAGTGTTACACGATTTTATCGAAAACCTTCCAGAGAAGATCCATTGGAAGAAACTTGGATCCATATTTGGCTCACATCAAGTTATTGATGCCTTCATTCCCAAAAAAAAAACTCGAATGGGTTCGTTTTGGGTTTATTCGCTTTGCTACAATTGAAGAAGCAAAGACATCGATTTCTAAGATGAATGGTTATCGTATTTACGGCAACAAAATTAGAGTCTCTTTGGCTAAACATAAACCCCGACAGTCTTACTGGCGAAAGTCCTCGAAAGTTGTTCATAAGTCGGGCTGGAAGTTTTTCCGACGATTAAACACTGTGAAGTTGAGGGTGTTGTGGACGCAGATAAACTTCATGTGTTGTCTAACTGTCTTGTGGGGTGGTGCAAGAACTTTATCAAGATTGGTAATCTTGCTAACCAAATACAAGCCAAAGGACTAGCGGGTTTCACGCTTATGAGCTGCTGGAAATGTAGTTCTAATGGTTTTTGAAGATTCTAATTCGTTGAGATGCGTGAAGGATGAAAAGTTAGAAACTCTTGCAGAATGGTTTTCCAGAGTGGAAACTTGGTCTGAGAGCCTTGTGGTGAGAGCCGGCGCGTTTGGCTAGTTTGCGAAGGTATTCCTTTTCACGCTTGGAATTGGGATACTTTCAAAAACATAGCTACTAAGTGGGGCAAGTTAATAGCAATCGATAACAGTTGTGAGTTCCCTTCGTCTTTTGATCGGGCTAAAATCCAAATACTCACAAACGCTCAAGTGAGAATTAATGAGTTGTTGGAGTTGAAGGTCGGGGATCATTTATTCAAAATCTTGGTGCATGAAGTTGATCCTTCCTTCAAACCTAATTCTTGGGTTCCTGAAGATTGCGATTTCTTTAGAACTTGATCCTCCAATTGGGTTGTGATTGTTCGGCTGCTGTATTCAGAGGCGTTTTAAGTTTGTGGTTGTAATTGTTTGGTTTTTGTTATGTTATCTTACATCTTGAGGTGATTTAGGGGCTTTTTGGTTGACGATGTAAGATTTCTAGGTGATATGGGTTGTATTGGTGTTTATTCCCGCATGTGGGTTTGGTGTTACCTCATGTACTTAGTATTATATTTAATAAAATATGAGGCACTCTTTTCTCCCTTCCTTGTTCTTCAACATACTTCTAAGTATGTGGAAGAATACGAAGGGAGTTTTTAATGAGACCTCCAACTTCTATCAAAAAACAGAAAAGGATGTTAAGATTTGTGAAGATTACATAAATTACGAAAATATGGACTTTATTTGATGCGAGAATCATTCAAAAGGCTATTTGTGCTAGAATAGAAATGATCAAGACTTGACATTAAGTTACATTGAATTAAAGTTGAAGAGTTTTATTCTCTTTTTCCTTCATTTTAATATGCCAAACGTAAAATGGTTGTTTCAAAACCTACTGGAATTTGAAGGATATTACACTAGAAATCATGTTTACTTAGGTTTGTTGTCTGTTATTAGATTTCTATTCGTTGGTCATGGGTTGCTGAAGTCAGTTTAGGAAGTTCCCTACCCTTGGACCCCATGACCTTTGGGAATATTGTTACTAGAACTCAATGAACGAGCATGACCTATCGCAAGTACTAGACGACAGCTTTACCAAATCCTAAGTAACTGTAGTGCCAATCCTTGTCCCGGTGCAAAGATTTAAGGAATAATAGGTGTGAAGCCTAAATCACCTATTCTTCTTCCTTAACCTCTAATTTCCGACTTTGGCTTCCACTTCAAATAAAGTTTGAATACTTCCAACATACCCCAATCCCACCCTTATAAATTCATCATAAAATTAAATCAGTAACCCTTACTTTACTATTCACAAGTACTGGTAAAGTAGCAGCGCAACCCAGGATTGCTCTCAAAATTCTTTATTAAATCAATTCACGTTCAATAATTTCCAATACTTCATTGTCCTAGATCAGCATGAAATATCTTGTTCAATTTTACATCAAAACATTGCAAAACTGATAAGTAAGCTGAATAAATTGTTTGTATGAATATGTACTTACAGAAAGATCTCTACCACCACTATAAACATGACTAAATGTTGGGGTGCTTGCAAGTGCCCAAACAGAATCTGTGTGCACAGCGTATGAATGCACACAATGTTGCTGACCGAGATCCCATAGCCTGCAAAATAAAATTAAGAGCATTTAAAAGAAAGGTCTAAAATTCTTTATGGTTGAAAATAGCTTCTGGTAATGCAACAGAAAAATGTACGCACAGATCATGTACCTGATCATAGAATCAGAGGACCCTGACAAACAATATCTGAAATAAAATTTCTGTCAAAAACTTCACTCACAAAATAGCCACAGTGAAAAATAAAATCAAAAAACAAAATCCAATAGCAGTCAATCAAGGGAAGAACCCATCAGCAATCAACCAACCTATATATTTCATAGCCAAAGTTGCATTCAGCGGTTGCAAGAGAGAAGAATCAGGTTTAACATATGCATGTAATAATGGTTATTAAAGCTCCATAACAATAATGCCTACACCTAACATCAAGCTGATATTATTTTTCACTAAGATCTAAAGATTATTAAGTAGAACTCATTGTACTAACCTGCCGGTAGAATCCAGAAGCAAAGCCCTAATGTTATCTGTGTGCCCTCTTAATTTCATATTCTTTGAACCAGTTCTTGGATCGCAAACTCGCACAACCTATAAGAAAATGAGTCAGGAAACAAAAAATAGCTACTGAAAATTTGTTAAATAAATCAAATGACCAACAGAGGTAAAGATAAGGTCATCTCTAGCAAGAAGTCGTTCGGGGAGAAAAATGTCATTATCATAAAATTTAATCAAGAAGCAAAAACTACCTTCTCAGTTCCACCAGAGACAAGAAGGGATCCACTATCATTCATTGCCAATGCATAAACCGACTCTTTATGGCCTTTGGCAGCAATAGGGACGTATCCATGACACTGAGATGTGTGTGTTTTAATGCTGTTACTCGAGCTAATTGTTCGTAAATTTGACACTTGAAATGAATTTGTCGAACCATTGATACCATTGGAACAATCATTGCCCACTACATCATTGGACTTAGATGTTGTAGTAACTGCAGCTTCAATATCCCACACAAAAACCTCACCACCAAGACCCCCAGAGGTAACTATATTGGCCTAAAATGTACAACAATAAAAAGAATCAGAAAGTGAATTCCATAGTAATAAACACCATAACTTGAAGTATAATTATGCTGCCAAACTAAACATGAAAGCTAAATTGAAATATTGCACTGCATGACCTTTAATGCCTTCAGCAAATAAAATCAATTGATAATTCTGACAGAAATTACATTTTTATCAGCAGCGGCTAGACATGTAACATAGTCAGAGTGTTGACGAAATGTCCTGGTGCATGTTCCATCAGATGAGCAATTCCATGTCTGGTGTTTCTCAACGAGAGAGAAAATGTCAATACTTAACTGGCATAGTCAATACAACACTGATAACACGTTAATTAAAAAGAAACCTTCAATGTTGTGTCTGACGAGCAGGAAACAAGTGTACTGTCACCAGCAATAACAGTATCATTTACCTGCAAAACAAGGAAATAACATTGTTCTCAATCATAACTTACACGGTTACATATATCACATATTTTATATGTATTTCAATGGCGAGTTCCACAAACTGGACCAAAAAAAAAAGCAGATAAAGGGCTCTAAACATTCAAATTGAAAACTGATGTAATTGAATTGCAAAGTACAATACTTGCTCTAGATTTTGCTTCTGGTGAGCTGGTTGCTTGGTTGGTTAATAAGCAACGATTCAAATTTGATATCACATCAGGGATAATGTCATTCTAGTGGACCAAATTAGAAAATAAATTAAAAGTCCACCCCTCCAAACCACAAATTAGCAATAAAAAATATTGGCTAAAGTATGAAGGTCAGGCTAATTAGCTAATAGTAGATTATCATGAACAGCAAAAAGTTACCCAATCAACATGAGACTCAAATGTAGCAGAGCATGTGGCAGTGTTTTCACCAAGTGCCCATTTCTTAAGTGTGCCATCGCGGCTTCCAGTGAAAAGATAGTCAGACCCATCAGAGGCAGATGACTTGTGCACAGCCAAACAATTTATGCCAGCACAATGCTGCAAAACAACAGAGAAACATCAATGCCTAATGCCTATACCTAAAATTAAATTATAAAACTCTCTACTAAAGTTCAAGATCATGACAATTTTTTATAGTATAAAGAAAAGGATTAGCAGCATAATCAAATTTGATTGCAAACATGGTCTTAAATTAATGATGAATGTGTGGATAATAGAATGAATTAACGCAAGCCATCATTTCCATTTTAGTTCAGTATAGCAAAACTCCTAAAGGATAAATAGCATTCAACAATGAAATTAGCACAACATTACCTTGGAGAAGGAAATTAAGAAGTTCCAACCAAAGTAGATTTCAGATGTGCCAAGTTTATCAACTTAGCAAATATATAACAAGCAGTCTCAACGAACCTAATTAATATATATATATAGCATGGTATTACAAATCTACACAAGGATACAAGCACAAATGCAAATATGTTCAAATGGTTATTCTGTGAATTGTTCATCAACTAGAAATCCCCCACATAAGAAAAAATAAAATAAAACCAAATACAAGCTTCTACAATTTATATTTTAACTAAAATATGATTGCATAAAAGGATAAGTAAAGGCAAAACACTAATAATCTAAAATGTGGCACATTAGAATGAAAAACACAGATAAATTAGATTCCTAATAACATCTGAACATGAAAACTACACATGATTGACAAATACATATGAAGGAAGATGACTCATAAACTTGAAAGAGGAAAAATGAAGTGGGAAAGCAATGAAAGAATTAAAGAAGGAAAAAAATAACAACAACGACATAAACAACATCACCTTTGTGTCAGCAGTGTCATTCAATACATATGTCAGCCTCTTTTCTTTACGTGGGCGGTTAGAATTGTTATTGTTCCCTGCACTGTCCACTCGGAGCATTGCAGTAACCCCTACATAACCAGTCGAGTGAAATTTGATAACTTTACCACTACTATTTCTCATTGCTTCTATACACTTTAATATCACCACACTATATTAAAAGTAATCTACATTCTGCAACTAAATATAACTTAAGAAAAGGATAAAACAAATGATATGCACCAAGCCAAAACAGATCAAACCCATCTATCTTGAACAGATAATTAGTATTTTAAAATATATAATAGAAATCCTTACACATGATTCAACAGAAAAAAATACAATCAAAACACAAAACTCTCAATTAAATCCAAATTAACATTTTAAAAATGACTACAACCGCATCCATCGCAATTAAAACATATTTCTCATTCATATTCATTAAAGGTCATAATTGCTGAAAAATGGACGAGCTCACCGAAATGCAAACCATAACCGTCCAATATTACCAAACTAGACAATCAATAACAAAAACAATAAAAAAATTATACATATTCAAAACATTTGCCGCAAAAAAAAATTATATCCAAAATTTCGCCAAATAAAAACTCAATAAATTAAAACAAATTATCGATGAGAAACGAAGTGGGGAGAGACTTTGGACTTACCGGGACAATCTTCCAAGAAGAATCGAACAGCGATAGGAATGAATTGTTGAAAAAGCGATGAAATCAAACCCTGTAAATTTATATTAATATATTTGTTTCAACTTTTTTATTTTCTTCGCTAAGGGAAGATAATGAAGAGATTTAAATAATTGGGGAAGAAATGGTGATTAATAAAATCGATAAATAAAAACTCTCTCAGGAAAATACTGAACAGGAAAGTGAAAACGGAAAAGTTGAGGGATGATAGAGGCTTATTGGTCTAGTTAAAAAAAACCCTGGATCCACGACGTCGTTTAAATTAGAAGTGGGAACATAAATGACTTAAGGAAATAAATTGATTTATTAGTTAATTATTAAATACTAGTATTTTTTTTGTAATTTAATTTATTAAAGTAGGCAAATCTACATTAATCAAATAATATCAAACACATCACAAATTGAGCGCTCTTAATGGTTACAAAATCATTATTATTTTTTGAGGTTTCGAGTTTGAGCGTTACATATGCAAGAACCAAAATTACTCTTTCTTTTTCGAATCGTTGATCGGAATAGGATGGATCAAAACATATGGGATCACATGTGTAGTTTACCCATTTCTTATATTTTGAATTATATGTTTTAGGGTAAACCAGTGGCGGAATCACGTGCCCACCCAGAAATATGAATTTCTTCGATTAATTACTTATTTTACTAATGATGCCCTCCCTAAAATTTTATTTGTTTCCATCCCGTTTAAAAATTTTATGTTGTTAACATATGTGTGCTCATCCTAAAAAAATATTTCTAGATCCGCCACTGGGGTAAACTACATGTTTAGTATCCAACTATCACTTTTGTTCTACTTTGGTCACCCAACTATTTTTTTTTTCAAAATCATACCTAACGTTTAGTTTTGATTTTATTTTGGTCACCTACAGTTAAAAAATTAACAGAACTGTTGACGTGATATTTTTTTTTCAATGACAATGTGGTATTATATTATGATGACACGTCAGCATCACCGTTAATCTTTCAATGACGGATGACAAAAATGAAACCAAAATTAAACATTAGGTATAATTTAAAAAATATTTAATGACCAAAATAGAACAAAAATGATATAAGCTCTAAGCGTGTAGTTTATCCTATGTTTTGTTTGGTAGCTTGTATGTTAAGATGCACCGGTGGAGAAGTGTTATTGGGATTGAGAAAGTGTATACTTGTGTACCTTACTGTATTTGACTAGGGAACTTATGCTAATTTTTATTTTGCAAAAGCTAGACGGTGGTAACACAAAGGGCAGGCGGGCTCGATCGACGTGGTGGACCAATGTGAACGACGCATCCAGCAGGTCACACTGGTGGGTTCCTAGTTGAGTTCAATGTTAAATTTTCTTGATGGGTTAATTTGGTTTGACAATTACGTTATCCGTTTAATTTCGTCATTTCTCGGCGTGGAGATACTCTAGATGTTAAACCGAAAGTAAGCAAACTATGGATGGTTGATCGTGGAGGAAGTGAACGATTACTCAAGACCTGCATTAATTAAAAGAGTCTAGCACCGACATTAAGTGTTCGTGTCTTTATGCATTACCTAAAGGTAAAACATAGTAGACATGCAAAGCAGTAGTTGAGTTTTCAGCTGCCGATACCAGTTAATACAAGTGTCACGGACCACGAACCAACAACCGAGATCAGCACAAGAGAAGTAGCTCAAGATTACTTAAGTGGCGTTTTGGGCCTTCCTAGACCCATGAAGACTGACCCATTCCATGAATATAAAGAGCCTTGCACGTTTATAGCAGGAGAATCCTAGGCGTTTTGTTGCCTCGCTCCTTAGTTAAGAGAAGATCTTGTAAATACAATCCCTTGATTGAGGGGATTTAAGAGATTGTATTCGATCTAGGCCGTCAATGTACTTAAATCTTAACCGTTCATTAAGGGGAGCTTCCACTATAAATAGAGCTACCTCCTCCTCATTTTTACTCACTTTTTCATTTTGAGGAATCTAAGCATCTTTGCTTTGATTATTTTCAGGTTGACTTAGTTGCAATCACAGAAAAAGTGACTAATCTAGGCGTTGAAGTTCCAAAGGCGTGACACAAGTATTTATTGTAGATCTTGGGAGTGATTTAGCAACCCTATTAGTTCCAACGGTAACAAACATCAAAAGTTTCCGTACAAGGACCGTTGTCTTACATTCCGCACGCAATTATCACTTTCAAAGCAACCCCAACCCCAATCCCTACCCATATCCCTATCTTTCCTGTAAATGTCGAACCACTGCGAATTTCCACTCCTTGTCATGTAGCAGAAGAACAAGGTACTCTTGAACAAGTGCGGTTTGAATTGGAAATCGTAGGATTCCTTGTAAGAAAGAACATGGACGCTGAGATCGTCGTCCTTGGATTTGCAATGGATGGTCAGATCCTTCCTGTCATCCAAATGGTTATATATTATTACTCGCACGCTTCTATCCCAGAAAGCCTTTTTGTCCGCAGCCTCTATGCTCGCAGCCAAAACCAGCGTTATAGACAGCAATCACACCCACCAGATCGCACATGGATTCATGCTTGCTCCTCTTAATGCTCAACAAAATACCATACAACCGTATAACTGAAATTTTCAAGTGAAACGGGCTGCTCTCATTCTTGTAACTCCTTGCAATTTATGGTAACTTTGAACCATTAATATTTTATTTAATTAAGCAATTAATCTTTTATATCGTATGTTAAATTCCAATTTAGGTTACATTTGATTCATTGTTATTAAAAAAAGATAATTAATCAGGTGAAAATACAGTTGGGATATTTAACATTCAAATATTCCACTTTTACTTCTTTTGCAATTCGGTCCTTAAAATTTCTTTTCATTTTAGTCATTTCTTTAGAAACTTTACGAATTTCACTTAGTTCATTTTGCTCCCTTACCAATATTACCATTTATTATTAAAGCGCAGTGCATTAAGAACGTTCTCCATGTGTACGAGCAATCTTTAGGTCAAATGGTAAATTTTGATAAATTTATGATTTTCTTCAGTCCTACTAATGTACAACACCATCGTCACCGCCTAGTTTGGGGCTTCCACTTCATATTGGTAAAAATAAAATGACAGCTATTGGTTATTTGCGAGATAAGGTGGTCGCGCGAGTGATGGGTTGGACTAATAAGCTTCTTCTGTATGGTGGAAGATAGGTCTTTATCAAGTCGGTCGCACAAACTTTGCCACAATATGCTATGTCATGCTACATCTTACCCGATTCCCTGCTTAATGAAATGGTAGGTGTAACTCGACATGTTTGGTGGTCAGGGAAAAGTGATGAGCGTGGATGGTCGTTGTTCGAATGGAAAAACTATGTAGACCAAAGCGAGTTGGGGGGCTAGGCTTCCGTGATTTAATCGTTTCAACATGGTTTTGATTGTAAAACAAGTGTGGAAGCTCATCGAAGAACCGAGTTCGTTGCTAGCTAGAGTTCTTCAGGCAAAAATACTACCCCTCGGGGGATATCTTCCGCGCTAGGCTCGGGGAAAGAAGCTCCTCTGCACGGATTTGTATCCATCGTGCGACGCATGTCCTAGGCTCGGGTTTTTATTTGGCGTGCTGGTATTAAGATTTAAGAGTAATACACAAATGCATGGGAATCGATGGGGGTGGGGCCGCGATGGTGTCTTTCTTGGTGCCATACATTGATAATATTGAAACACTCGTTCTTTGCAAAAAGTTCATGTTGCAGGACCAGAATCTTTGGAACGAGGAGAAAATTAAGTGGGTCTTTGAACCAGACCCTTGATGTATTAGCTTTGTTGCACTGATGAATTTTTATTCATTTTTAAATGTTCCTTAAATAAAAATATCAAATAAATTATTAAATTAAGAAAAATTCAAAATCCTAATGATTTTTTTTTCAGTTTTCAATTATGGGTTTTGGTTAAAAAATTAGGTAAACTCTTTTTATTTTGATCGCTATCAGAACAACGGGAACAAGAGAATTGAACGTACGTTGTTTGGGTAACCAAGCATATGCCCAACTATTGAGCCAAGAAAATTACTTAATGTAAAATAATATGGTATATATATATATATATATATATATAGTATTTTAGTATATAAATACTTAACTTAAATTTGTACTATTTCATATACTTTAACTTAAATTCGCATCTTAACTTAAAAAATATTTCATTTTTATCTTAACTTATTTAATTTAATTTATTATTATTTTTATTTAAATTTTTATATTTTATTCTTATATGAACTTAAAAATACATTTTATTCTTATTTTAACTTAAAAATATATTTTATTTTTGTCTTAAATTTTAAATATATATATTTTAATCTTAAAATTTTTGGACTTTACTCACCGGATCTGATCCGAATTATCTGAAAATAATTTGAATATCCAAATTTTTAGATCGGATGACCTGATCGGATCAGATCTTTTTGCACACACCTACTAGACGGGGGCATAGATGTGATGTGAGGTTCAATGTTGGTGAAATTGATTAAATACTAAAAAGTTTGCTTTTAGAATATTTTGAGGTTCTGTTTATCTATATTGTGATAATATAAGTTTCGCTAAACTACATTAGATTCCACCGAACTTTAGGCATTGTATCGTTTATACCGTTGAATCTTTAATTTTGTCAACTATATCATTGAACTTTGATTTTTTTTCAATTATACCACTGAACCGTTAAATCGTTAATGGCGCGATGACGTGACTCATGGCTGTCAACGTAGACACCTCACCAAAACGACGCCATTTTGATATGGCTATTAACGATTTAACAACCCAGCTGTATAAATGAAACGAAAATCAAAGATTAATTCTTTAATTGGCAAAATTGAAAGTTAAATAGTTCAAAGGTATAAACGATACGATGCCTAAAGTTCAGTGGTATATGGTGTAGTTTATCCTATAAGTTTTGATGACTTATGGTATTGTAAATGGTGGACTTTGGAATACTTAGAATTGAATGTGAGATTATTGGGTGCATCTTTTGCGTGTGTGGTCGTCATTGGGTGCATGTTTGTTTCATTGTTTTGCCTTGGTTTCTACAACAATCATGTACGGAGTGGTAGCTTCCATCTTTGGTTCAAAATCCAATCGAGCAAATATATTTAGG